AGTCGAAGCAGTCTTTCTTGAAATGTCCTAACTTTCCACAGTGATAATATTTCTTACCACTTTTATCTTTAGATTTAGATTGCATTTTAGATTTTCCTCTCCCCTTCTTGTTATAGAAGTTAAATCCTTTCTTTTCAGGTCTTCCCCTAACAAATAGACTCTCTTCCCGGGAATGAGTTCTGTTGTTTCTTTTTAATTCAAGTTCTCTTGATTTTAAAGCATCGGAAACAATAGCTTAAGCGAGAGTGTCCCTACCATATTTTATGGCATTTTTCATTTCTCTGTAAGATTCGGGTAAAGAGTTTAGCAATATGACAGCTAAATCCTCATCGTCAAATTTTTTATCATTATGAGCTAGACTCTTAATAATTATGCTAAAGTCACTCAAATTTCCCTCGACATCCTTCCCCGGGTCCATCTTAAAACTAAATAAATTTTCCAACAGGTATATTTTATTAGGTAAAGTTTTAGTTAAGAACAAGGCATCTAAAGCAATCCACAAAGTTCTAGCAGTTTTAGCACTATCAACTTGTCTCACAATGTTGTCAGATAGATTCAAAATTATAGAACTGTAAGCAATTTCATTCATGTCTTCAATTTCAGTTGGTTTAGCTTTTAACTCATCAGAAAATGTAGCGGAATCATCGAGAGCTTTAGCAATTCTCTGTTGGACCAAAATGGCCCTCATTTTTTGTTTCCATATCGAGTAATCCCCCTTTTCATCGAATTGCGATAATTCGACCCTCGAACCCATTACAGATTCTGTAAAAGAGTGGCCTGTACTCATGGACAAAACATAAAAGGTTTTGAAAAATTCTTTTCGAGATGATCAATATAAAAATATGAATGCCGAGTTTAAAAACAATTTTAGAAATGAAGCATAACAATCACATAATCCGTTCATGAAACACAGGTATATAATGCAAGTAAATATGCTTCCGGGTTACAAATTAATCACAAGAATTCAATCAACGGAATTCACAAATAGGCAACCAAGTAATAATCATGCATAAACCGGTAAGGATACCAAACCTAACCTAACGGAGAGTTCTGGAATAATCTTACCAAACTACTGTTAAAAAACAGTATATATACCACCAAGTTTCTGAACCAAATTGCTGTAGACGTCAAGTCAGGGGCAAAATCGTCCAACTTTTTCTATAGAACCTGAAACAGAAAACAAACGACATCAGTGCGTTCAGGACATCGAAATAAGTAAACTGCCTGAAAAAAGCTTGCCGGAAAGTCCAGCCACGCGCCGTCGCCAGAGTCACGCGCCGCCGGTCGTCGGTCCGGTCAAGCGCCCCACCACAGGGAGCGCCTTGGTCTGCTGGTTATGGGTCCAAGGTCAGTTTCGCCAAAAGGTCAGTCGTTTGGCCGAAATTTGGATTTTCAGATTCGGCCAAAAATGGGAATCGCGATTTCCTAGAAGTTTTTGATCGATTTTTGGACAGATTTCACTTCTCCTAGCTCTGATACTAGTTTGTTGGGATCCTTGGAGTTCAATCAAACAATAATCATCAAATAATAAAGGGTTTCAAGGCAAAAACAATGCAAATAAGGTGGAAAGGTACAACCCGAGCTCGGCCGAATCTGTCTAGCAGTTTGTCTTCTTTCTCTTATGGCTGATTTAGGCTCAGGAACAGCTCCATGTAATGCTACTCACCTTCCAAAGAGAGAGAGAGAGAAACCGACAAAGAACCCACCAACCTTCAACCAAAAATCGAGAGCCAAAAGAAAGGGAGAGGGAGTCGACTTAAGAAGAGAAGAAAAACCCATCTTTCTGTCAAAAAACGTAGGGAGCCTTATTGTGTCAACCATCAAGTCAAAACATCTCCCCCAAGACAAGGCAACACAAATATATCAAATAGATTAAATCCCGGCCATCGATCCCATCCAATGGTCCATAATAAATCTGAACAAAATGGAGTTAAGAGAACCATATTCTCACAACAATGATGTTCATTTTGGCCAAGTTGTAGTTTTACTTGTCTTTTGCTTGCTGTTGATTTTCTTTGGCATGGATGGACTCAGTTCAACCCGTTTTCCCCATGGACGAACAGCTATCCATCGCTCCTTCCAGCTCCACCCACAGTTGTCATTGCTAAGGTCATAATAAGCTTGACCGAGTTACTGGTTCGAATTCGCCCTCCACTGCAAAAAACACAATAACTTGCCGAGTCATTGTCAATTGAAAGTGTGATTTCATGGAAGTCACAATTGATAATTGTAATGACTTGATGACGCACCTAATGAGAAAAGGCGTATGCCATGGCTCGCTCCCTTCTGGCTGCTGCTGCTGTATCCTGTTGAAAATTTCTTCCATGGTTTCAGAGCCACCACTCCATTCTACCAGTTCAAGAAATCACGATTTAATGTCCTTTGCAGTCAGAAAATAAAGCTCCATGACAAATTAGGCAGTAAAATTTTGAATAAATAATTGTCTCTTGATTGCTAGTTGAGAAGTAGAAAACATATTCCAATATCTCTTGAATTTAATCAAAAAAAAAATTCTCCAAAATCAAATTCTCCATTAGAATGGAGCAATTTATTGAGAGAAAGTAAATACCTCATATGGTCGGAGCAGGTGTTGACGGCAGCTCATTCCTATTTTTCTTTACAGTATTTCCGTTCTTTGGCAATATACGTTTTTTTTTCCTTCTGAAACTTGGGTTGATTTACTTATCCAGCTTGTTTAAATTTATCACTTTGAAATAGTACAGAATATTAATGGCTAACTCAGCCATATCAGTGATGAATATCACATATTTATCATAATTTGTGGTTAAACTTCTCAAGATACAAACAAATATATGTAAATATTGTTAGCCATATATAATTTGCATATAATATTTAGTTTAATATTTAGTTTTCTTCTTTTATAGGTTTCCTTTTTATTTACTTCTCTTGTAATACATAAACTCATGCATTTTTCATTCGAAACCTAATTTCTCTAGGTGGCTCAATTGATTTCTTCTTGTTCCTCCTCTTTGATTCTCTATATGTTTGATTCTTTATATTAGATTATATGTTAACATGGTATCAGAGCCTAAACATATGTGTTGAAGTTGATTTTTTTTGTTCTATCCATTCTCAAACAACTTGTGTCATAAAAAACAATAGGAAACTCTAATTTTCTTTTGAGCAGCCACTGAAAATATACAATATCTTTCAAACAAAACCTCCATTCGATGATTGGTGACCATATATAGATTCACAACGACGAGACGAACTTACCTGGTGGGGCGTGAACGGAAATTGCAGACGCTCTGGCGGTGGGCGGTGCAGGCAAGCACATGTGCTATTTTCGACAACGTGTCAACAAGACAGTTTCTTTCTTGGTGAGTTTCTAACAATATGGTAGTATTATTTTGGTCATATGCGCATTGTACGGTATATTCCGACGGTAGTTCGTGTTGGTACGTTGGTTGTCGTTGAGTTTCTTGGAATTTGCTGATTTCTGTCTATTAGTAGTTGTTTATTTGTTGATTTCATAATGGCAATTGGAAGGGATGATTCACTTCAATCCATTAGTATAAGATTAAATGGTAAAAATTACTCATATTGAAGTACTATAATAAGGAATCTTCTTTATAAAAAAAACGATTGTGAGGTTATGTTAGTGGAACTATCGTGAAACTTGAGAACACTGCTGAGAATTATGTGACAGAGTCAGATAATTGTGAGTCAAACAATGCGAAAATCCTCATTTGGATTCATAATTCTGTTGAACAATCCATTGGCACACAGTCGATGAAGTTTGAAATGGCGAAAGAAGTTTGGGATCACTTTTCAGAAGTTATACACTAAGTTTAATTTTGCAAAAGTATATCAATTAGATTTTGATATACGGGCTTTACAATAGAAGGATATGAGTATTCTCGAATTTTGCTCTACTATGAATTCAATTTGGGATGAGTTCGCTATTATAGAATCAGTGGGACTTAAAGCATGTGAGGAATATATCACTTCTAGAAAGGAGTAGAGATTAGTTCATTTTTTTATGACACTTCGCAGTGATTTTGAGGAATTTAGAGGCTCTATCGTGCACCACACTCCATTTCCCTCAATTGATTCGATGGTTAGTGAACTTGTAGTTGAAGAAACACATTGGAAATCTCTTGTAGGAAAAGTATCTCTTCTTCCATCTAACACCTCAGTGCTGGCTGTACCTTTTTGATCATCCACACATAATCAGAACAAATGTTATGTGCGAATTGCTGGCGATGAGTGTAACTTTCGCAAATAAAAGGGACATTGGAAGTCTCAATGTCTCAAGCAATTGAAGTAGCAGCAGCCACAACCACGACAGCGATCCTATCATTCCAATGCTAACGTAGCTGCTACCATGCCATCTAGTGACTTGTCTATACTTGGAGCACTACCTTTCTCTAGTCCCATGTTGACTAATTTAGCAGAGCAGTTTCAAAAGTTCTTAGCCACATGTTATGTTAACCTCTACTCAAATAGGTTTATCATCTCAGACTCACTCAAGTATTTCTTCCTCATGGATATTTGACTCCCGTGCTTCAAAACACATGTCGTCTAACTTAAAAAAATTTAATGACTTGCATCCTTCTAACTTGTCTATGTCTGCTATGACTGCTGATGGCACACCACTGCCTTTAGCAAGTGTTGGTTCTGTTAACACATAATTTATCGCTTTAAGACGTCTATTGTGTTCCAACTCTTACTTTGAATCTTATTTATATTGGCCAATTGTGTGATTCTGGATATTTAGTTCAATTTTCTTCTAATACTTGTCATGTGTAGGATCCTCAATCTTAGATGCTGATTGTGATATGCTATAGACAATGAGGGTTATATGTTCTGGACAATCTGAGACTATCATACGTTGCAGTCTCTGGTGTTGACTTATCATCTTTTTCTTTAAATTCATCGTCTTCTGGTTTTTATTTGTGGCATTCTCACCTAGGACATGTTTCCACTAATCGTTTGAAACTTTTAGTTTGTAAAGTTTAATTGGGAAATTTACAAGCTCATGACATTTCTGATTGTAGTTGTTGCAAATTAGCTAAATTTTCTGTTTTACCTTTTCCTCGAAGTGTGTCTCATTCTGTTGCACCATTTGATCTTATTCACTCTGATGTATAGGGACTTGCTCCTATTACTACAAAAGGAGAGTCTAGATATTATGTGTCTTTTATTGATGATTATAGTCGCTATTGTCAAGCTTATCTCATGAAATGAAGTTCTGATTTTCTTTCTATTTATCATTCTTCTGGAGCACTTATTAACACGCAACACTCTACTATAATTAAGTACTTTAGATGTGATTTTGGTGGAGAGAATACTTCAGCTAATTTCTCTGAATTACTTGCTCTTGATGACACAATTCATCAAACCTCGTGTACTAATATCCCACAATAAAATGGTGTTGTGGAACGAAAGTATAGGCACATTGTAGAAACTGTTCGTTCCCTTCTTGTGTTTGCCAAAGTTCCCAGTACATTTTTGAGAGAAGCAGCTCTTACTGCTATTTATTTTATTATAAGATTCATTCTTCTCACAATTCAAGTTTATCACCCTTTGAAACATTGTATGGGTATCCTCTTGATTACTCTTCATTAAGAGTTTTTTGCTATACTTGCTTTGTTCGTCCTCCTGAAGTTGAACGTAATAAGTTGACATCTCACTCTGCTATCTGTATTTTCTTAGGTTATGGGCAGGGACAAAAGGGTTATCACTGTTTTGATCCCATTAATAAGAAATTATATGTTTTTCGTCATGTCATGTTTCTTGAGCACATTCCATTTTTTTGTATTCCTAATAATACCCATGACTTGACTAAAATTGACCTCATTCATATTGATCCATTCTCTAATGATATTGATAGACCACCTTCCCATACCCCACGTATTGTTGATTTTTTATGTCCTAAAGGTACACATGCGCCAGCTCATGATAGCCCTCCTTATTCTATAGCTTCCCAAGCACCGCCTGAAATTGTTGATCTAGCTCCCGCTCCTCCTATTTCTCGACATCCTCAACGTATTCATAAGTCAACTTAGTTACCTGATTTTACTTATTCTTCTTATTCTAAGTCATTTTGTTGATTTCTAACCTCTATTCACAAGCTATCTGAATCATCTTCCTATAAAGAAGCTATTCTGGATCCTCTTTGGCAACAGGCTATGACGATGAACTTTCTGCTCTAATAAAACAGACACTTGAGACTTGGTTGCATTGCCTGGATTTATAAGATTAAAACCAAATCTAATGGTTCAGTTGAGCATTACAAGGCTAGATTGGTTGCTAAGGGTTTTAATCAGCAATATGGTTTGGACTATGAGGGGACTTTTGCTCCTGTTGTCAAGATGACCACTGTTTGTACACTAATTGTAGTTACATACTTACATCTGTTTGTCAGTGGAGTCTCTTTCAGTTGGATGTTGAAGGTAAATCTTCACGAGGAGCTTTATATGGTTCCTTCTCCTGGACTTTCTCGCTCTCCTGGATATGTTTGTAAACTTAAGAAGTCACTTTATGATCTCAAACAATCACCTCGTGCCCAGTTTGAGAAATTTTCTACTATTGTTATCTCTCTTGGTTTTGCATCCAGTCATCATAATTCTACCCTATTCTTTAGATGTACTTCAACTAGTCATATTCTACTTTTATTGTATGTTAATGATATGATTATTACTAGTGATGATGTAGATGGGATTGCCGATTTGAAATTAGAATAAGCTCATCGTTTTGAAATGAAAGTCTTAGGTGTTCTATATTATTTTTTGGGTATCGAAGTTGCTTCTTCTTCTAAAGGTTATCTTCTCTCTCAGTTTAAGTATACTATAGATGTTATTAAGCGTGCTCGTCTTACTGATACTAAAATTGCGGATACTCCTCTTGAGTCCAATGCTCAATATTTCTCTTCTAACTGTGTACCTTTGACTGATCCCACTTTAAATAGCACCATTGTTGGATGTCTGATTTATTTTACCATCACACATCTCGATATTGCTTATGTTGTTCACATTGTTAGTCAGATTGTTTCAGCTCCTACTATAGTTCATTGGGTAGTTGTTCGTATTTTGAGCTATGTTCTTGGTATTTGCTTTCGGAGTCTTCCATTTCCATCAATTTTCTCTTTAGTGCTCCGTGCCTACTCTAATGCTGGTTAGGCCAGTAACTTCACCGATCGCAAGTCTACTACTAATTTTTGCATATTTTTGGGTAATTCCCTTATTTCTTGGAAGAGTAAGAAACAGACTGATGTTTCTCGTTCCTCTACTGAGGCAGAGTATCGTGCTACGGCATCTACTACTACTAAAATTGTGTGATTGCATTGATTACTTACAGACATGGGTATTTCTTTATCCTCTCCATCCTCCATGTATTATGATAATAAAAATGTTATTCAGATCTCTCACAACTTCATGTTCCATGAGCTCACGAAGCATATTGAGATAAACTGTCATCTTATTCGCCATCATCTGCAGACTGGCACCATATTCTCTACCATTTGTTTCTTCATCGTTACAGCTTGTTGACTTCTTCACGAAATCTCATCTAATTCATCGCTATCGCTTCTTACTTGACAAACTCTCGACTCTTCTTGCTGTAGCATCGTGAGTTTGAGGAGGGATATTAGCAATATATAATTTCCATATAATATTATTGCATAATATTTAGTTTCCTTTTTATTTACTTCTCTTTTAATATATAAACTCATGTATTTTTTCAGTAGAAACCTAATTTCTTTTGGTGGCTCAATTGTTTTCTTCTTCTTCTTCTTCCTCCTCTTTGTTTCTCTATATGTTTGATTCTTTATGTTAGATTATATGTTATCAAATATAAATTTTTAATCTCCACCCTACAAGTCCATATGCTAGACGCAAATACCAGAAAATATTTTACAAGATCATGAGTCAAACATGATAATGCTACTCCCACAATGAAACGCAAATCATGGATATATGTGCTATATGAATTACATTACATAATGTGGAAATCGAAAATACATCTACTTCATGGAGCTTAGCATCAAGTTTAAACTGATTCTCAAGTTTCTTTTGCTTTATTCGACCTTCAGTAACCATGGAAATCCAGCGAGATCTAATCCCTGCTTGAATTTTGCTCCAAAAATGTCTATGACTCAAAGCAGATGAAGTTAGGTTCTTAATAGCAAGGCTGTCTACGACACCTTGAATTCTACCTATTCCTTTTGAATGAGGCAGGGGTTTTCTTGCCAACAATCACCACAAATGAGTGAGGCTAAGGCATGATAAAGAATATATAAATTTTCTAGTTGAGATCAAGGCATGCTAAATTAAGCACTTGGTCTATAGAGCAGAATGATTTTTCCACTTGCAGTCATTTGATTTTTTGGCTGAGTGCTGCACCAAGTGTGTAAGACCATTAGGAGACGGAATATATTAATCGAACTCTGTAGACTATATACGTAGAGTGCAGAGAGAGGAGAATTTTGAAAAGGAAAAATTAAAATAAGCTCATTGCACCAGAAGAACGAACTCGACGAGGATAACTCATTCACCCTTCTATGATCCCATAGCGAGGTCTGTCAAAGAATATTTGAGTTTTCTGCCGAGGCCAAGCTCACTTCTATGAGAAAACATATAGCAACCGTACCAAGAAAAAGTGCCCTTAACATCTAAGAGGTTGAAATAAGTATCATGAAGGATCCTGTGATGACTATAATATTCTAAAAGGATCCATCTATCTTATAATCAAGAATGAAGGTGAATAATCACATAAAATTGTGAAGATGTCTGCTAGTCATCGAACATAAAGCTTGGTAATAAGTTAGTGTTACTCAGTTATATAAGACGGCATGAAATCATTCATTCAAAAGGAAACTTAACTCCACTTGCTTTGTTCTAGCTGCCTTTGCTTGCTTGAGGCAAATCTTTTTCTTAAACCAATCATCCCAACCCATTTCTACTTCTCTGGAAGCTGAACAACAGTACAGAGCTTAGCATAAGCCTAGCACATTATCATAGAGTTCATTTTTTTCCTGAAGTTCGCAAGAATAACATGAAATCATGGTTCTAAAGTATAAACACAGAGAAAATTCATGGCGATGGACAAGTGATCAAGAGCCTGCCTGGACAGCTCCATTTCTGCTGTCTGCCGATCTCATTTTGAGTTTGGTCTTCCCTTCAAACTTATCGTGCCTTTGGTCTTCCATTTTCAACTTATTCCTGAATTTCAATCAATTCATTTCTGAAACAAAAACTCACAAATCCAATAGGTAAGTTCGCTTCAGCAATCTTCTTTTCAGAGCCCTTCTCAATGCCCATAAGGTATGCAATGTCAAACAAAGGGTCATATGCAAGATAAGCCCATTTAAAGGTAACCTTTCCTTTGCAACTCAATTTTGCTAACTTTTGATTAATTGGATGCTAATAAGGCTATGATTAGTAACAATATGCACTGAATTAAGAAACAAACTCTTTAATCACAAGATTGCCAACCCTTAATTCCGAATTTCAGACCAATATTTTAAAACCAATACTGCCTGCCTCCTGACAGGCCATGGCTTAAAGCTTAAAGGGGCAAAACATTCTAAGACTAACATAATACTCCCTTAACTAGAGCAAGACAAATTACTGTAAAAAGGTTGCATATAATTTCTTTAATACCAATTTCAGCAAAACATGAAAAACACGTTAAAAACAATTGAACAAAGAAAATATCAACAAATCCCATTATGACAAAGAGATAAAATTTCCATTTTTACAATAAAAGAGTATGGGAATACACTAAGCACATACCTGTGAATGGCCAAGAAAGATGCTAGTTCAGGCAATGGTGCGTGTAAATGGAAAAATGTGGTGGGATTGTATAATGACCTACGACCAAGAATGTTTGATATTTGCTGTAAAAGTTTCAAATTGGAACCGACAATCCAACTAAACAGAACAGAAGGTGGGGTGTTAAATTTGAATTTCTGAAAGCTCTACAAATCAAAACCTTAACTACTGGCTTATGAAATGAACTTTTATACACTCTTTGAATTAAAGAAAGAGAAAAATCTGTTTTGACAAAAGTTTACTCAATCATGATCGGGACAGAAAAAGGATAGAAAATATAATTTTCATTTTGGTCCCGGCGGGGCTCGAACCCGCGACCTTCGGCTCATAAGACCAACGCTCTAACCAACTGAGCTACGGGACCTTTTGATTGTCAAATGATTTCCTCTTAATAAATAGAAAAATCACATTAGATAAATTTCTATCGCTAAATTTAATTTTATTTATGTATCTGTCTATTTGAATAACATTTTGATTAATCAGATTTTAAGCATTTGTGTGAAATTTAATTGACTAACATGTTATTTTATTACCGTTTGAAATATATTTTTTTATTATATTTAAATAATTTAATTGTTCAATAAAATAGTACAATTAATAATCAAACTTTGTTACAAATGAGTAGCGGCAAATAATATTAGTATAAAGATATTAATGGAAATTAAGGCATAAACTCAGGGTTAAGAATACAATTAATAATCTAACTAATGAGTAACGTTAAATAATATTAGTATAACGATATTAATGAAAATTAAGGAAAACTCGATGTTCATTCTTAACGTACTGATATTGGATGGGACATGGCAGGATATTTTTTCGATTGTACCTTAATTTTACTGCACAACTAGAATAAGCATTAGTTCGAGAAGTTGAAAGGAACAGAGACATTAAGTACTAATTTTTATGGAAATGAACCAAATTCCTACTAGAGTATCTATTTTTAAAGAGTTTAGTAAACCTCTTTATTAATGACATTTAATTTTACTACTCCAGAAAATTATTTACTGTTTTCTCCTTTCTTTTATTTTCACTTACTTTCCTTCAAATATATTATATTATTTTCATCTATTAAAAATTAAAATACTTTGAAGGCATTCAATTGTAAAGAAAGGAAAAGTCAAACTCACTCTCTATTTTAAACCGTTAATTTAAAAAATCTCTTAAACTATAATCCAAAAAATTAAGCCTCTATGTGTCTCCAACTCTTTATTTTTTATACTAATTTTTCACTACTTTTTAACTATACATTGTCCAAAAACTCACTAATCAAAATATCAATATTTTTTAAAATAATAGCCATCAAACAATGGCTAAGCTATATGGTGATAGCCAACTGTAGACTTCATGTAGAGCAAGAGTTATGGAAACTTTACTAACCCCTATTTGAATCTCAAAGGAAATATACGAAAATGACTCTTGAACTGTAGTAAATTTTAACATTGGCCTTTGACCCATTAAATGAATTAAAAAAAAATTAAGTTAAAACATAACTTTACACTAAAATGGCGATTGTACCCTTCAAGGCTACAGACTGTTTGAAAGTTTTCTCTCTAACCAATCGACCCAAAAAAAATCGACGCCACAGTTGCCAAAAAAACTGATCGATCAACCACCGGGCGAAACCACCAACGTCATAATGATTTCAATCGACGATCAGAAGCACGTATCTACCACCGGGAGAACTATTCCGGTTAGTTTTCTCACAGGAAGTTGTATTTTTTGTTCCAATTTTCATTAATTGAATTATTTTACGTTTATTCGATTTAATTAGATGAAGATGCATGAGTAGTTAGATTGTGGGTCATGCTGGGTGAAAAATGTGAATTTTTTGTAATTTTTGAATCTCTCCATTGTCGACAATGGCGATTTCTAGCAAGGGATAGTAAAAGATGGTGATCCGACTGTTAACAGTCAGTCCAGACTGTTAATAGTCTGCAATTTTGTTAAAATATATATATATATATAATTTTTTTTATCAATTTTTATAATTAATTTATTTTTTTATTTGATTAAAGAGTAATTATGTTATTTATTTGTTTAATTTTTATAATTACCTTTTTTTATATAATTTAATAATTGAATAGATAATGTTGTCCAACATTAACAATTTATTTTGTTCCTTTTATTTTTTTTTTATGAATTAATCTTTGACTTTTTTCTAATTTATTTAAATAATATTTATATTCTTTAATTTTTTTAAAAATGTATTTAATTTGAAATTTTTTTTAAATATATTTTTCAAATGTAATAGACATGATTAATTTTCTTTATAACTAAATTATTTTAATTTTTAAATTTGTATTGAATTTATTTTGTTATTAGCGTCAATGTCTTGCGTATTGTATGGTAGTTAGAATTCAGTTGCCTTGATTTTTTGAGATTATGCGTTACTTTATTATCTCTTGTTCAATGTTCTAACATTTGAATTTTTGCAGGATGGAGTATCATTTATATGGAGAGTTGAAACAGATGACGGGGAAAGCTACTTGGAACAGTAGCTTTGAGAGTTTTACTGCGGTGTTGGAGCTGCTTGATAATCATCACGAAGATATGCTACGACAGTCCTTCTTGTGGCCATTATATCAGATGCGAGAGGTACAATACTCAGGACAGATTATCGATGCACTTCTATGTCGGCTTCTGAGGCCAGTCGACGGTGATTCCCTCCACTTCGACCTCGGGGCAAGGTCGTCAGTTTCTCGATGTATGAGTTTAGCTTGATTGTTGGACTGAGAATTACGGGCGACGATACAGCCATTGAGAGAAGCAATAGGCTGTACGAGACGTACTTTCAGGGACATGGGTCTGTGCATCTACCCGAGTGATGGTCGCGATCAGGGGATGCGACCAGATGCTAGATAGATTGAACCTTGGGCTAGTTTACATCCTCGAGAGTGTGATGAAGTGTCATCACAAGAAGATTGTCATCGACATTTTTCATTTGGAAGTTCTTGACGACATCGATGCGTTCAACAACTATCCATGGGGCTGGAGATGCTACGAAGACACCGTACATGTCTTCACCAGATTACACTCGAGGCCCAGGGGATCAATGCATAAATACGATACATATGGATTGCCCTTAGCGGTGTAGGTAAATGTTTAATATAATTAAAGTTAAAGTTTTAGTATATTACATTTATGCATAATAAATGTATGTGTTGCAAATTTGGGTATATAAGACAGTCCCTGCACTGGGAGCCCACTTCGTGAAGCGAGAGGAGACACGATGCCCTGGGATGCATCATTGGAGATCGTCACGAGCAGACGGATATCCCACTGGAAAACAGTTATTGGCCCTCCTCGACGATCCTCAGGTAAGTATTATGCATTTGTGATTTATATTATACGTAGTTTAAAATCTGTTTACATGATCGTTAACTAGTTGAAATGTCAATATGTCAGCTTGAAATCATATCTGAGTTGACGCCATCGATGGAAGAGGAGGCTTGGGATCTTGTGCGGGATTTAGGCGTTCTGCACACCCAAGACGAGGAGATGTTTGATCCGAGCTTAGATCGAGATTGGGTATGCGAATTAAATATAATTTATTGAATATCATTGACGTATAAATTTATTGAATAATTTTTAATGTTATTTATTTATGAGGGCGGTTCAGCTGATCGACGATCACCTCCGCCGAGGGTATCGTCGCTACCATTGGCATCACCTCCGTCGAGGACATCACTGTCGCCATTTGCATTGCCACCGCCTAGGGTATCTCCTTCTTTCTCATCCAGACACGTCCCCCGTGTATCTCCGACACACAGTGATGATTCGTATGCCCGTCTAACTGGATTTATAGCGGAGGAGGTCGGGGCGCTACGATAAGAGTTGACGAAGAGGGTCGATGATATGGGACGAGAGTTGACAGGGAAGGTCGACAAACTAACAGGGAAGGTCGATTATCTGACAGGGAGGGTCGACGATATGGGACGAGAGTTGACAGGGAGGGTTGACGATCTATCCCATGATGTTAGAATGCTACGGTCTTACGTTGTTGACCTTCAGGATACGGTAACGGCACTTAGAGGAGATTTAGCCACTAGGTAATGGGGGGACAGAAGAAATGGTAGAGATGATGATCGAGAGGGTGGCAGAGATGGTGATGGAGAGGGGGGTCACCCACATTTTTGGTATGATGAAACATTAGAATCATTGTGGTTGTCTATGTAGGGGGAGATGGTGGCCCCGATGGGGATAGGAGAGTGGACGACGGAGGGGGTGGCCCCGATGGGAGGGGCGGAAGAGGTGGCGACGGTAGGAGAAGTCCCGATGGGGGCGGAGGAGGTGACCCCAATGGGAGGGACGGATGAGGTGGTAATGGAGGAGGTGGCCCCGGAGGTCGAGAGGACGTCCGTCGTGATTGAGGGTAAAAGACATACTGTTGATGAGACGTAGTAGGTGGTCGGCAAGAGGTTGAGAGTGCCGTCACAGTATGTTGTTTTCCCCTTTACGGCTAAGGCCAAGAGGAGGATGTTCATCGATGGGATGCACCTGAACTTATTCAGGGAAGTGGACAATGCCAAGTGGAAAGCGTTCGAGATGGAGTGAAGGAGAATTATCCCCGAATAAGTATTGTATGATTATTTTAATAAAGCACTGTACGCTAAATCGTCTATGCTTATTTTAATATTTTCCTGTTTTTTCAGAGCTAGTCGCACGATAGGTAACCGGACGGTCTCGGACGCTTACAAGTGGTTCCACGATATCACCACTTCGGGATCTTGGCTTTCCAACGATGTAAGTGAACTATTCATTTGGTGTTTTTTATGTATACGTAACTGTGTTTATTAAATGAATAATTCATACTTTTTTAATATTTCCTGATGCAGCACATCGACTTGCCCATGGACTTGCTGCGAGATCGAGCTCAAAGACATCCAAAATTATTTGACGTCCATGGTCGAGTTATATTAAACACCGAGTTGCTGCTTGCCGTTACCATAGAGTATCAGTCGCTCCAACTTATGGGTAACGAGTACATGGTGTCGGAATATATGATCGAGTGGGTCATAGGAATGTCGCCGAGTGTCGAGGGAAAATCATGGGAGGGTTGTACACATATGTACATTTCAGCGTGCATCAATAAGCACTATGTTACGTTGGAGATCATTTTTGCTGACACGACTATATATGTATACAACCCAAATCATTCATGTTTGACACTAGGCCAGCTGGAGCAAAATCTGGAGTCCATAGCTGTAATTGTTCCTATGATGGCCAAACGAGCGGA